ACAATAGATTTCACGTTATTAAAAGTTTTTGTTGTATAGAGAGTATATTCAGTGTCGATATACCATTTTTCTTACTGAAAGAAAAAACAGAGAAGCAGTTCTAAGAATAGAATTATATCTAGAAACTAGAATAATTTGACATTATCAAATAATAAAGACTAATATGCTATTATTCCAGATTCTGCTTATAGGTCGAAATTACGGATTATTATAATAGTCTATCGTTTACTGATAAGATGAAAGGTTGACTTAATTATCAAACCTAACTCAGTTTTATTTGTAAATTATATTATGTACAGATATTTTTAAAGCAATTTTCTTTCTAGTGGGTCATATCTATTTGAAAAAGAAAGTTTGGCGAGCCATGATATTGGAATCAAAACAACGAGCCGAACTTCTTGCAAATACTGATCAACAAAAACAAAAATTATTAAGTGAAAATGCATCAATATCATTTGAAACAGTAAGTATTTATGTCAGACATGAATTTAAAGACACTTATGATAATAATATGGTAAAAGGTGATTCAGCTTGGTATATGGATCAAGTTCTATGTTCAATGTTATTAGGAGACTATCGTGAGAAACATAAAAATTTAAAAATTGATGAACGTGGCCGTCCTCCCCGTCTTGATCGCAGTCATGGCATTAAATATTGGAATCGTGATAAATTCGATGAATTTGGTGATGCACATTTACTACACGATGCGATCTTACACGAACCTAATTGGATAATCTTTAATAGATTACTTAAAACTTTATTTAATGGAACTCTTATTAATTTATTTAATGATTATTACAAACAATATATAATTGCTAAACAATAGTAAAACAAATGATTATAAAAATACAAAGAATTGTTATTGTTTTACTTTTTTGTTTGATATGTGATATTATTTTTTTTTTATTTTATGTTATTAAACAATTTCCTCAATAAAATACAACAGTATACTTGACAGGAAATAAATTATATTTTTTATCTATAGATGGCGTTAGTGTACATAGTGATATTGCGATAAATTATATATTAATTTTTAGTTTTCATCATTTAAATGAAAAATAATCTTTTTTCTCTCGATAGAATATTATATATGATATTAAAATAATCCTGTTTGATTTTTATTAGTGAAGTATAAGAACCAATAAGAATTATCGTTTACGTCTTTGTTCATTTCGTTTATGGGCTCTTTGTTCGTATCAGTCATCATTCTGTTTGTCAAAATAACGTTTTCGTGTTAACAATTATGAGTTACTTTTTGAAATATGTCGAAATTGATAATTTCAAATCGTACAAAGGACATATTGTTATCGGTCCATTACGAAAATTTACAGCTATCATTGGACCAAATGGATCTGGTTTGTTTTATATCAATGAAAAAAACTATTTTCTAAGAATTTCCTTTTTTTTCAGGTAAATCAAATCTTATGGATGCTATTAGTTTTGTTCTTGGTGAACCAACAAAAAGTTTACGTGTCCGAAAATTATCTGTAAGATTTCTTTTGTTTTATTCAATTATAAAAAAACACTTCTGTCTTTCTAAAGGAACTAATTCATGGTGCACCAATTAATAAACCTGTTAGCAATCGTGCATCAGTTTCATTAATATTTGTTTCAATTAAAACTGATCGTCATGGTGGACGTACTGAACATGAAAAACGTTTTCAACGTTTAATTGTTGGTAATGCATCCGAATATCGTGTTGATAGTCGTCAATTATCCGCAACTGAATATACTGAAGAACTTGAAAATATGGGTATTATACCAAAAGCAAAAAATTTCCTTATTTTTCAAGGACAAGTTGAATCAATTGCAATGAAAACACCAAAAGAATTTACAGCTATGTTCGAAGAATTAAGTCGTAGTGGAGAATTACGTGATGAATATGAACAAGCTAAACAAGAGAAAAATAAAGCTGAACAAGATACACATGCTAATTTTCAAAAGAAGAAAGGTGTTGAAAAACAAAAGAAAGAAGTTCGATTAGAAAAAGAAGTCGCACAAAAATATGCAGCATTAAAAACTCAATATGTAAAAAGATAAAACTATCAAATCAAAATTTTATTTATTTTTATATTTAGGATGAATTACAATTACAATTGAAATTATTTCAATTATATCATAATAAACAAGAATTAGTCGAAAAACGTGAAATATCTGATAAGAAAAAAGATGAAGTAGCCAAATTAGAAAAACGAAAAGAAGTATCTGATGAAGATATTAAAGCGAAAAAAAAAGAATTAGCTTCTTATAATAAAGAACTTACAAATGATGAACAAAAAGTGAAAGAATTAGTAAGTTTTTTATTGATGAAAATTCCAGATTTTCAAAATGAAATTTTTTAGGAAGCACAAATTAATAAACATCGTCCAACTTATATTAAAGCGAAAGAAAATTCAACTCATCATCAGAAAAAATTGGATCTTGCAAAGTAAGAGAAATTGCTGAATGTATAATTAATAGTACGAAATTTCGATATTGCTTATCAGTTCAGTTCAGGCATGTAGCGAACCCGAACGTTCAGGGTATAACACAACTTGTTTGAAATCGTTAGATAATAGGAATTCAAGCCTTAAAAAAATCCCGAACCCGAACCTGAACCTGAACCGGAAGTTCGGGTTCGGTACATGCCTAGTTCAATTTGAGTATTATTTCCGTGTGTAAAATCTTCATTGAGCTGATATTATTAATTATTTTGTATTTTAATAACTTTTTTATTCGTTTAGAAAAACATTACTTTCTGCTGAAAAGACTCATGCAGCTCATGATGAAGAAATTGATAAATATGAAAGTGATCTACATGAAGTTGAACGTTTAAAACAAGAATATGAAGAGAAATTACAAGACGAATCTCAACATAGTGGTCGTAATTTAGCCTTAGAAGAAAATCAAGTAAATTATTAGATTTATTCAAGAAAAAAAAATTATTATTTGCTTGTATTCTTAGATGAAAGAATATCGACGTTTAAAAGAAGAAGCAGCTAAGAAAATGACACAATTTACTGAAGAATATGATTCAATTGATCGTCAACAACAAGTTGATAAAACAAATCTTGATCAAGAACAACGTAGTCAAAAAGATCATATGGCTAGAATAAAACAAACTGAATTACGTATTGAAGAATTAAATGGAAAAATTGATAAATTGGGTGGTTATATTGCGTAAATAAACAATTGATGAATTTTAATTTTTTTTGAAATAATTTAAATATATATTTGTAGTGATCTTGAACGTGAATTTAATGAAAAACAAACCAATGTACAATTACTTGAAAAAGAAGTTACGGAAGGTCGAAAACGTTGTGCAGAACTTGAAGAAGAACTTGATCAAGTTAATAAAGAAATTGGTGAAGCACGCGTATGTTTTATCTAGAAAAATATTTGTTAAAAGTAAATGTTATTGTTAATAATTATAGTCTGATCGAAATGAAACTAGTCGTGCACAACGACGTGCTGAATTAATTGAAAATCTTAAACAATTTCCAGGCGTGGTACGTACATATCAACTCACAATTAATAGAAGTGCATTTCCGTATACATACGAGCTAAAATGAATAGTAGTCAGTCTGTTATTATTCTAAAGTGTTAATCTATGTCTGCTGAGAGAAGACAAGTAAAAAAATATATATATTTAATTTAGTATGGCCGTTTGATCGATCTTTGTGAACCAACTCATAAACGCTTTCAAATGGCAATAACAAAAGTTCTTGGTCGTAATATGGATTCGATTGTTGTTGAACGTGAAACAACAGTTCAATCATGTTTACGTTATATGAAAGAACATCGTTATGAACCTGAAACATTTTTACCGCTTGATTACATAAAAGTAACACCAGTGAATGAACAACTTCGGTTTGTTTTATTTATTTTTTTATATAGTTTAATATAAAAAATCATTGTTTTTTTTCTAGAGAATTACAAGAACCTAAAAATGTTAAACTTGTTCTTGATGTTATTAAATATGATAAACAATATTATAAAGCATTACTTTATGCATGTGGTAATGCACTTGTTTGTGATAATGATGATGATGCACGAAGACTTGCATATGAAAGCGGAAGTCAAAAGAATAAAGTTGTTTCATTAAATGGTACACTTTTTAGTAAATCAGGAGTTATTTCAGGTGGATCAAGGTATAGAAAATGAAATTTATTTTTTTTTAAATTTTTTTTTATTTTTTAGTGAATTAAAAGCTCGTGCTAAACGTTGGGATGAAAAACATCTTGATGCATTACGTGCACGTAAAGATAAACTATTTGATGAATATAAAGAACAACAAAAGAAAAAACGACGTGAAGCAGAATTAATTAATGCAAGGTTAGTAGTAGTAGAATGAAAGAAGATAAATTCTATGAATTTTTTTTATTTTCTTAGAGCACAATTACAACAACTTGAAAGTCGTTTACGTTATTCAAGAACGGATAAAGAAACAGCTGAAAAGAAACAAAGAATTTTAATTGACAAAGATCTTGTCGATTTTAATGATAAACTTGATGCATATGAGGTTAGTTATTAGTTTAAAAATTATATAATAAACTTTTTAACCGAGTTCGTCTTAAAATATAATAGTTTTCATTATTGAAACTATTTATCAGGAAATTTCGCCAATATACTTATAGGAAATTCGTTAGTGTCACTATGTGATTACATATGTATAAAAATAGCTTCTGTTAGCTATATTGAGGGGTTTAGACTAATATGCTTATTCTGATGATATTAGGTTAATTAATCACATGCATTTTACACTAACCTTGTTTTCTTACAGTTGGCGAAAATGCACTAGACTTACGCCAAATCGCGCCTGAACTTTCGCTAATTGGCAAATGTCTATTGTAGTTTCGCCAATGGCGGATGTTTTGTTGGCGAAGAGATAGTAAGCCGGTTGCATCAATAGAGTGTAGACGATGAAAATTGCTTATATCACCAGAAACCAGTCTGTTGCTCTCGAATTCAGTGTTTTATCTAGCGGTTAAGCTGGGTTGGCGGCGCCCATCAGAGATTTCGATTCGCCCATCCGACATTTCGATTTATACACTTGAAAAAAGAAACCTGGATAAAACACTACTCAAATCTGCTGACATTGTTCATGACTACTCAATTATTTAAGATTAATGTTTAGATCAAAATGCTCGATCGTTGATCTATCTGATCGTGAATTTTGCATGACCCTCTTCTCTAAAATTATTGATAATACTTATTCCATTAAAATTTACTATATAAAATTTTAGCCTAAAATCAATGTATTACAAGCAACGATTGATGAACGAGAAAAACGTATATCGAAATTACGTGTACAAAAAAATAAAATTGAAGATGCTATTTTTGCTGAATTCTGTAAACAGATTCATGTATCAAATATTCGGTAAATTTTTTCGTTTATTTTATTTAAAATATATTAATTATCCTTTATTTTTTCAAGTGTTTATGAAGATCGTGAATTACAAGCAGCTGAAAAACGTGCACAAGAACGTCTTGAATTTGAAAATCAAATAACAAAAATTCAAACAATGCTTGAATTTGAACGGTCACGTGATACAGCTGGTCATGTTGAAAAAATTAAACACGAAGTATCAACTTTAGAAGATGCATTACAAAAATGTCAAAAAAATGAAAAAAAATATCGTAAAGTATGTATAAATTCATTTTATATTCTCGCAAAAATTCATTCGATTATATTTAAGGTTATCGAAGATCTTCAACATGAAATTGGTGAAATCAAAGATCGTTTACTTGATCAAAAGAAAAAAATTGAATTTCAAGAACGTGAAATATCCGATTGTACAAAACGTGCTGCACAATTAAATAAAGATTATAATGAACAACGAAAACGATTACAACTTATTGAAAGTGACATTGAAAAATTACGCATGGATAGACATAATTATTTTCGTACCGCTAAGGTATTTGTTGATCCGAAATATATTTTTATTTAATTTTTGTTAATTTTCTTAGATTACTGAAATTGTACTACCATTTCGTGGTAATGCTGGTTCAATGGCTGCTATTTCGCTTGCTGAAACATCGTCATCTGATGATACAAATACTCATACACAATCAACAACGGATTCATCAACAATATCAAATGGTGATGGAAATTCAACTAGTCAATATGAAACCAAACAAATTTATGATATGGAAGATAAATTTGAACTAAATTATAAACGTTTACGTGATGATTTAAAAAAAATCAATTATGAACAAGTTGATAAAGAAGAAAAATTATTAATTAAACAAATGTCTGATATTGAAATGCAATTACAAAAACATTTACCCCAAACATCAGCTATTGATGCACGTTCACGTGAAGTTAAAACAACATTTGAATTAACAAATGCAGAATTTGAACGTGCACGTAATGCAGCGAAACGTGCACGACAAGCATTTGAAAAAATTAAAAAAGAACGTTATGATCGTTTTAATTCATTATATGAACATGTTTCAACATGTATTGATGATATTTATAAATCATTAACAAATTCACAAGCGGCTGTTGCTTGTTTAACTGCGGAAGATGCGGAAGAACCATATCGTGGTGGTATTACATATAATTGTGTTGCACCTGGTAAACGTTTTCAAGCTATGGAAAATTTATCTGGTGGAGAAAAAACTGTTGCAGCTATTTGTCTTTTATTTGCTTTGAGAAGGTATAGAAATGTTTAGTTTTATTTCATATGCAAAAATTCTTTCTTGTCTTTAGCTTTAAACCAGCTCCATTCTTTTTACTTGATGAAGTTGATGCTGCTCTTGATAATACAAATATTGGTAAAGTTGCTGATTTTATTCGTGAACAATCAGCTTCTGAATTTCAATGTATTGTTATTTCACTTAAAGAACAATTTTATTCACGTGCTGATGCACTTGTTGGTATTTATCCGGAGGTAAATTTAATTGATTGTTCTTTTGCTTTTATCTTATTCATGTTTTTGTTCTAGCCCGGCGATTGTATTACTAGTCATTGCTTGACATTAGATTTAAATCAATTTGATGAACGAGAAAATATTGCAAATACACGTAGTTAAATATGGTATGATGATGTTTTTTTGTTTTGTTTTTGTAGATACGTATTATATGTTTTCATTTTGTTTGTGCGTGTTGTATATAAGCTATTGTGTGTTTAGTTCCGGAAAATAATTGAAAATAAAGCTATATAAAATATCAGAGAAGTTGTGTCATTATTTATAAAATAGATTCTGATATACATTAACTTTTAATAATAATATGTTACTAGTATGGAGTTCTATATTAAAACTTGTAATAGTACTACTCCACATTTACATATAACAAAATACAAGTAGTTTGCATTTGAGATAGATATTCAGTCTTACGTTTAAGTCTTGTTTGTTGATTTATTCACATACACAGATATATTAGTCTAGATATTATTCGTGGGTGATCTTTTACAAAGTAGCAAGAATATATTTAATTTGAAAAGAAAACAATATGAATACAAACAATTGATTTGAACGATCATGGTAACAATTGACACAGTAATTTTACCTAATTATCATCGCTTCGTATAACTGAACGTGGATTTCTATTCAAACAAACAATATAAGAATTAATTTCATCATGCTGGAACTTTCATGTAAACTTCTAATCATTTTTCGAATTGTGTTCTATATGTTAAAATATCGATGATGGCGGTTCTCGGTCTATAGATGTATTATTTTGCAAACGATTCTTGATTCTTGTTGTACACATATATGACGATTGTTTACAGATTAAAATGAAATCGAAGAAACGAATATTTCTATGACCAGAAGTTCATATCTATATTTTTAGGAAATCGATGAAATATTGGTATCGATATAGAAAATATAATCGAATAATTGTTTTTATGTATGATCATTCGATGTCATTTATATTTGTTCGGACAATGACTGCCGAAAACAAATTAAAAATAATGCATTGTTCCATAAGAATTTTTAAGAATTCTTTTCTTGTTTTTTTTCCTACTTTTGTATCGTTTCTTCTCCTATTAATACAATTTACATACATGCCTAGTAAAAAAATGCAGACTTGAAACTAGAGGTATTACTTTATCTTTTCTACATAAATAAAGATAAAGATAATCTTTATTTGCAAAAATAAAGAATACAGATACATTCGGTTACGCGATAAATACATATACAAATAACTTGTTAAATAACAGAACACCTTAACTCGTATTCTTTCTTATCATTTCTACATGCCATATCATCAAAAAAAAGGATCACACAAGAAACGATATATAAGGAAAATGTTATTTCTTATTATAGCTAAGTATATAATATCATAATTTTTTGTGAACTACTCCAAAAATAAAAAAGTACGTTTCGATAAAAAAATTCTTTATTTTTAAAATAAAGATAAATTAAGACCTCTACTTACAACATCGCGGAAAAGCCAGGCGAAAAATTATCGAATGGCGGAGGACAATATTTCTCATTATCGCTCATCATTACGCAACAGTCGTCTATCACAACTGATTTCTGTACGTAATTTTTCTTATAAAATACATCAAATTATCTGTATATAGTATTTTTTATTAGAAACCTAGAGATATTAAAAAACCACATGGATCAGGTCCGTTGGAATCGACAACTGAATTAGGTTATCTTGATTCATCTCGAATTTATGTTGATGGTCAATATTCGGGATTGGGTTCAGAACTAATCTGTTCGATTTGTCACAATGTTTTGTGGAAGCCAGTATCTTGCTCTACGTGTGAAAATGCTTTTTGTGTTAAATGCATTCGATCATGGACTGATAAACAGATTGATTATCGTGCCACATGTCCATTCAATTGTGTATTCAAAGAAAAACGAGTTCCACCTATTCTGAATAGTTTATTGTCCAAACTTTAATTTTATTGTGCTTACGCTTCGAATGGTTGTGAACAATTACTTCCATATGATGCTCTAGAAAAACACGAAGAAACATGCCCATATGAACGAATACCATGTGGAATTTGTGAAAAACCTATATCGAATCGAGATCCAAACAATAAACATGAACTTCGCGAATGCTTTAAAGACATGCATGATAGAGGTCCTCAACAAATTCAGGCACAATTTATGAAGTTATTGGATGTTATCGAAGCTAGTCAACGGCGCATTGAAGCACTCGAAAAACTAGTGAGCATTCCCAAACAAAGAAAATAATAAGGAGTATCTATCTTGAAATTTAACAGTTTTTTTTGAAGTCTTACATTAAAATAATAAATTGAAACAGTCCTCTGATGAATATCATCTGCACTTTAAAGCAAATTTTATATAATTGTTCTTTAGCTAAACACCTAATATAATAAAGGATATAAGAAGATATATTACTATAACTTTATTATTAAGTATATTTTATTTCAAGTAAACATGTTTCTCTTGTTATATATAAAAAAATGGAATCAATTTTACGAATGTATCTTCACAATACTTGTTTCTGTATAAATACAGATTAAAAATAGAAAAAGAATCATATATGTATATATTAACACCAAAGTTTTAATATTATCGATCGTTTGAATGATTAATTCAATCGTTTGTAGACTTTAATACCAAAAACACAAAGACCAGCTACGGTCAAAAACATAAGAAAGAATATGCTTAACCATAGGCCACTGATTGAACCACCTAATTCATGACATATTAATGTATCCGTTTTATAAATCAAAGGTAACGGTAAAGGACAGCTATCCAAGGTTAATTCAAATACTTTTTTTACATAATCATTAAACTAAAAATAAACAAAATCTCAATGTTTTTATAAATTCATTTTCAACTAATTAATTAACTAACCTCCATAATAGTTGAATTAACAAGAGTTTGTGGTAATGTTGGTTCTGCTACAGTAATATTTTTTAAGATCGTTTGAATCGTAGTTAAATTTCCTTTAATCTGATTGACTTTAGTTGCAATATTTGGTATATTAGCTTCGCTAATAAATTGATTAAGTAATGTAATTTCATCAGGAATACTTGTTTCTCCAATTGATTTAATAAATTCTTCAAAAATGTTTTTATTTAATTCATTCATCATATCGTTTATATAACGATCTAAAGTAGACCAATAATTATCGATCATTCTTATCGTAAAATGAACATTATTATGACAATCATCAATAACATTCAATACTGTTGTATTTATATCTGAACCATTGAAAAACGAAGTATGTGTTCCACCAATTTTATCTAAAATAATTTCAAAATGAATCTTTGTTTTTTTCAAGAAAATATTTACCAGTAACAAATGAAACTAAAAATGGTTGATCATCATGAACTGATCGACAAGCACCTTGAATACTAAGATCCAAAGCATAATAAACACCACTGAAAATTACCATAATAATAAATATAATAACCATTATAGAATATGCAAGACGCATTAAGCAAGGTACTACACATGATGAATTCCTATTTGTATATTCAAAGTCTTCATCTTGTGAATAACTATCTTGTTGTCTTAAAAAATAAAATATTCTAGGAAAATTAAAAAAAATAAAATGAAATAACTTACGAATAACCATGATGTGATTTATGTCGATGACTACCATTCATAGAAGAAACATCTGATATTCTTCTCATTCTAAGATCATGACTATAAAAATAAAATACATTTAATAAATTAATATACAGAATTACATACGGAGTTTTATTTGATGATTCGGTTCGATCACATCGACATAAATGAGCTAGTATAAGGAAGATTAGAAAACCAACAGGAATAAGAACAACAAATATGATCAATATAAGGAAAACTGTTCCAATTGAACTAATATATCCTCGAATTTCTTCTTCAAATTCTATACTCATGAACAACTGGTTATCCGATGGTAATATTTTCTCAAGAATATCGTAATCAATTGTAGTAATAACTTTTCTTAAATACTCATGAACAAGATTTAATGCATTTAATAATATGTTATCAATATCTGGTTGTGATTGACTTGCATAATTACAAATTTCTTGTAATGGTGTTTGTAAAGAATTCATCATATCATTATATCCTTTTTTAGCCTTTTCATATGTTTCATTAGCAGATGGTGATATACTTGTATAATCTGCTACAATAATATCTAAATCTTTAATATTTGTAGTAATATTATTTAGTGAGTCAGTAATATTTCGTATAAAATATTTTTCTTTTAAAATTTTATCAAATGTTTCAACTAATATTGATTTCGACGCATTGATTAGAATTGTAGCAGCTGAAAATAATTTTATATATATTTAAAATGAAATTTTTTATGAAATTAACATACGTTGTGCACAATATTCATCTAAATTTTCAATTTGTTGTCGTACATAAATGAAATAGTCACGTATTTCTTTTGGATAAATATCTCGATTAACTTGTTTTATTGTAGTATCAATAGATCCATTGGATTTATTTACTCGATAAGCGACATAAATCATATCACCTAATGCAACTAAATAAAGGATAATGACAAGACATGTACAGATTTGTGTAGTTTTCGATTGTTCTCGTTTTCTTCCCTACAAAAAACAAAAAGTGAATAATTTATTTTTTAAAGAAATCAAATTCGTACTCTCTGTTTCCTGGATTTGAGACATGAAAAAACACAGAAATTCAATGAAAGACTGAAGATTAAACCAAGAATGATACTTGTATAAATGATGATTGAAGGGATTGGTTTAATTTTAGTGATTTCAGAAATATTACTCCATGGTTGACTATCTGTATCAAATATAGTTTTTAATGTTGTTCGAACATCATCGATAGAAAATGCTGAATTGATTATTGAAGTTGATATGATTTGTGCAAGACCGCCAGTACCAGGGTTATAACTACTTGGATGAATAGATGCATTCGAATTATTGGCAAGTATTGGTACCAATGGTGAGGATGGATACGTATCGAGACATGTGAGATTTATAGCCATCGGATTAAGTGACGAAGATATGCAAAATAAAAATGTTTCGCTTGTGATGCTCTAAACAATTTCGTTTTTTGTCGAAGTAATTCCTTAGTAAAGAATATTTATATAACAACTATTACTCTTATCAACTTTTGATCTTTTATATAGATAAGATATATATTATGGTGAAAAATGTTTCGTCATCTTCCATGAGTCAATAATACACAAAAACATTTTACATAGAAACAGAAGTGATAAGATGATACACAATGATTTTTACTCTAATATTAACTACGTAGATATTATCTTAAAATAGAAAAAAAAAGCATTATTCGGATTAAACAATTAAATTATTACAAAGTTTAATAAGTTGTTCGTCGACTCTAAAATCATGCATATTTGAATCGTTGTAATAGGATATAAAAAATAATAACTATTGATTTATACGGTTCGTTGCCTTTACGTATTTTCCCAAGCGATCTAGTATATAATCGGCAATAATTCAAAATATAGAGCAATATGTAACTTCAAATAACGAAATATATGATGGAAGCAGTTAGAAAATTCTGTTTATATATTTATGTGTTAACCGCACTATATAAAAACCAAGTCTCATCTAATTTTGGTAATAAAAGCCTGCGATCATTTATTTGATTGAATTCTGTTAAAATAGATAGTACAAAGGAGTTCATCATTCTAAAAGAATTTTAGAGTAAAAAGCATGACAATTCTAACCTAAAAAGCAGCTTAGTCTTATATTTCAGATGTTTTATCTTATAGATTATTCAAAAATAGTCATGTTTTCTTTACCTTTATATTACTTTTCTAATTAACAAATTATAAATAGTATTTATCATTTCTCACACTTTATATTTAAAGAACTACCACATTTGAATAAAACATTATAATCATCATAATTGATTTGCAAATAACACATGCTCGCACAAATTGCTGTAGAAGCTACACGAGTGGTATTAATTTTGTTCATTATTTTGGGCACAATTGGTAATGTACTCAATTTATTTATATTTACTCGACCTACACTTTTAAAATCACCATGTACATTATATCTTCTTGCTGCTTCAATTGACAATATTCTAGTCATTTATACAACATTATTAACACGATTACTTGCAAATGGTTTTTCTATTGATATAACTATTACATCCAATGCTGTATGTAAACTACGAAGTTATGTTGGGTATGTTTTCTTTGCTGTGTCACCATATTTTTTCGTTTTGGCTTGTTTTGATCGATATTGTTCAAGCTCACCATCAGCAACATATCGATCATGGAGTAATAAGAAAGTAGCAAAACGATTAATTATTGGAGCAATTACATTAGCATGTATTTTATATTTTCATATGGCAATATTTTTTGAAATACAATCAGGCGAGGGTGGATTATCTTGTAATTGTCGATC